TGGCCAGCCTTCTTGTAGCTCCTTTGTGTCCCCTGCCCCCAGCACCATCCTCGTAGAACCAGGTTGCCAAGCAGAGGTGACTGAGACAGGGGACATCCGCATTTCTGTGGGAGCTGAGGCTCCTAGCATGTCGGGCACCAAGCTTGACCCCATCCAGCTGTCTATTTTCTCACACCGCTTCATGAGCATTGCTGGTGAGTGGATACTGTTGTCTTCCTTGTAGCGCTGGCATATGTGATGTAGGATATGAGGGATTGCATACTAGGCAAAAGTACAGACAAGTGGGGTCACATTGGCTCTTGTTGCATGTGGTGACCTGGCAAGTGTGTGCCAAGGGGAAGGGCGGGAACCTCACTGGTGGTGGGGTGAGCAGTATGGCCTTGGCTCTGAAACTGCACTCCCTGCTGCAAGAGCAGGCCTTACACGGGGCAAGCACTTTCTTCGCCACACCAGGAGTCATGTGATCTTCAGCAATCTAGGGAGAGAAAACAGGCAGCCGCTATGAGCTCATCTGTTCAGAGTCAGGCCATAGGCTTTCAGAAGCCCAGGGGTCCAAGCTTGGAGATCGGGTTCTTGTTGCACCAGTCAGGGAGGGAAGTTGAAGAGACCCAAGGCAGGCAGGAAAGAGAACGCTCTTTTCATAAGCTGACATACACCTGGCTACAGCCCTCCTGCCCAAGAAGGTGTGCCACCACCCTGGTCTTCCCCAGAGCACAGGAAAAGCTGCTGGGTTTGAGTGCAGAAGGCTTTCACCCTGTGGGTCCTATGCCCCTTTCTTGGTGGATGATGGGACTAGCTGGTTACTACTCTGTGCCCCCCAGAGCAGATGGGTCGAATCCTTCAGCGCACAGCCATCTCCACCAACATCAAAGAACGCCTCGACTTCTCCTGTGCCCTTTTTGGGCCAGACGGGGGCTTGGTCTCCAATGCTCCCCACATTCCTGTGCACCTGGGTGCCATGCAGGAGACTGTACAGTTCCAGGTGTGGTGACAGTGACTTCTTTTATTCCCTTTTGCCCCTCCCTTTCCCATGACTTCACTTTCCCTTCCCACTCTGTGTGTGTCTCCTGGTTTCAGATTCAGCACTTAGGAGCTGACCTCCATCCTGGTGACGTGCTGCTCAGCAACCATCCCAGTGCAGGGGGCAGTCACCTCCCAGACCTGACTGTTATCACACCGGTGAGGAGTGCTGCCTTGGCTACCATCAGAGGGACGAGCGGTTTCTGGTGCCGCTGACAGTTGCCGTTTACCCCTTAGGTATTTTGGCCAGGCCAGTCACGGCCGGTGTTCTATGTTGCCAGCCGAGGGCACCATGCAGACATTGGGGGTATCACGCCAGGCTCTATGCCTCCTCACTCTACCACACTGCAACAAGAGGGTGCTGTTTTTCTATCCTTCAAACTGGTCCAGGGAGGCGTCTTCCAGGAAGAGGGTAAGCTGGAGACGGGTCACAGTGATGGTTCAGCAGGCAAGGATGCTTGGCTGCTACCAAGAACCAGGCTGGTCAGGATCCTGATACACAACTGATAGATAACATCCTCATTTATCAGCTCAGGCCTGCCATGAGGCATGGCAAAGACATGTGGCGCCCTCTCAGGGCAGTTGTAAGTCATCTCAGAAGCGCAGAGAGCTGAGATGACTGATGTCTTCTGGAAGGTGACTTTGGGGTGGGGAGTTGGCCAAGACATCCAAGGGGGCAGCAGGTGGAAAAGGTTGGCTACTGCTACAAGCTACACTGGGTATTGAGGCAGCAGGATCCCTGTCTGGGTCTGGGTCTCAGTCACTGGGCAGTGGAGCAGCTGGAGCCATACTGGTTGGGCTGCACACCTGTCTGCAGAGTAACCGTGAGGGTGAGTAGAGTGGTCAGGTGTAACAGCTGCAGTCACCCTCAAAGAGCATGGGTATCCAGGTGGCAGAGGGTGGGAGGGACTGTTGGGTCAGGTGTCCAGGAGCAGAGGGTAGGAGGGACTGTTGGGTCAGGTGTAGACAGCTACAGGATGGAGGCTCTGCTCTGAGCAGTATACAGCAGCTGCAGGCAAGATGGGAGCACTGGAAAAGATGGCACTGTTCTGAGGTCATAGGGCTCTAGGGAGTCAAAAAGGAATTCTGGAGTTGAGGTGAGGGCATGGTAGGCCACTCTGGGTGCCACAGACACCTAGGATACATAACCTTGACCATTGGGAGCTGAGGAGGATCATGAAGACACAAGTGTAACCATGTGGCTGAGGGTACAAGTGGCCAGGAAAACCTCAGGGAAGTCCAAGACGGTGAAGTGAGGGGTCCCCTGGTGTGGTGTCGTCCCCGGGCTAGACGGCACTGCTTCCAGGAGCGGAGGGGAGTCTTGTCTAGATGTAGGAAACTGTAAGATGACAGGAATGACAGGTGCCCGATAGTCCTTTTGTGTGTGTGTGTTTGCCTGAGTGCATGTATGTGCACTACATATATGCAGGTGTCCTTGGAGACCAGAAGGGAGCATAAGATCCTCAGGAACTGGAGTTAGAGGCAGTTAAGAGCCCCTTGTGTGGATGCTGGAAATCGATCCTGAATCCTCTCAAAGAGCATCAAGGGCTCTTTGACTGCTGAGCCGTGTCTCCGCTCTGTGCTGCCTTATGTTCTTGAAGTACTAGGAGGCCAGTGGGAGTAGGCAGGACATAGGGCAGACGGCACAAGGTGCTTGTGGAATGTGTATCAGAGAAACCTTTTCCTGCGAGGTGTAGAGGGGAGCCTAGAAAAGGATGGGCTTGCTTAGGGACAAACCCACCAGCTCCCAAGCCACATCCAGCTCCAGCGAAGTCATTGGCACTGCTGCTTGCCAGAGGTGCTCCAGATGCTGGGCTGCAAAAAAAGGCTCAGCAGAAGGATGGAGCCTACATCTTCAGAGTCCATGAGTTTGCAACAGGGGAGGTGGCAAGTCAGTGGGAGGTCAATAGGGTGCTCCCAGTGCCCAGCGTGTGTGTCGTGGGTGTGGAACAGGCAGGCACACAGGTTCCTGGGGGCATGGAAGGTGACTCAGTTGTGACCCTGTCCATCCACCATCCAGCGGTGACAGAGGCCCTGCAGGCACCAGGCAAGATCCCTGGCTGTAGTGGAACCAGGAACCTGCATGACAACCTGTCGGATCTTCGTGCCCAGGTGGCAGCCAACCAGAAGGGCATCCAGCTGGTGGGCGAGCTGATCGGGCAGTATGGCTTGGATGTGGTGCAGGCCTATATGGGCCATATTCAGGTGGGCCTGAGAGCATCATGGGGCAGTGTCGTGGCTCCAAGGTAGTGGGGCCACCCTGCAGGTGGCATGGCTGGCCTGAACCTTATTCCTGCTAGGCAAACGCTGAATTAGCAGTTCGAGACATGCTTCGGGCTTTCGGAGCTTCCCGGCAGGCCCAGGGCCTGCCCCTCGAGGTATCTGCAGAGGACCACATGGATGACGGCTCCCCGATCCGTCTGCATGTTCAGATAGACCTGAGTCAGGTTAGTGTGCGAGGGCAGTGGGGACGGGACAGCACTGGCCTCTGGGGTGTGACCAGTTGCTGAGGGCCACACCTTTCTTCCTTGTGGGCAGGGCAGCGCAGTGTTTGACTTCAGCGGTTCCGGGTCTGAGGTGTTCGGCAATCTCAATGCCCCGAGGGCCATAACACTGTCCGCTCTCATCTATTGCTTGCGCTGTCTCGTGGGCCGTGACATCCCACTTAACCAGGTTTGCAGGGGTGAGGTCACCCTGAGGTTTGCCTGAAGACAAAGGCAGCCCAATAGAACAGCCTAGGGTGGTAGAATTTTTATCTGAATCTGAGTGGTACCCATCCCTATTAATCACCCTGTTCATTCACCAGGGTTGCCTGGCTCCTGTGCGTGTAATAATTCCCAAAGGCTCCATCTTGGACCCATCCCCAGAGGCAGCAGTGGTGGGCGGCAACGTGCTCACATCTCAGCGAGTAGTGGACGTCATTCTGGGGGCTTTCGGGGCCTGTTCAGCCTCCCAGGTGTGGTGGAGCAAAGGTCTGGGAGCTGCTGAAAAACAGCGTGGTGGGGGTGGATACCCACATTAACAAAATACTGCTATGTGCTTCTGTCAGGGCTGCATGAACAATGTGACCCTGGGCAATGCCCGGATGGGATACTATGAGACGGTGGCTGGTGGTGCGGGCGCCGGACCTGGCTGGCACGGGCGCAGTGGTGTGCACAGTCACATGACTAACACACGTATCACGGACCCGGAGATTCTGGAGAGCCGGTGAGCTGAGCAGCCAACAGTGCTGGGCAGTTGGATCTGGAGATGGGTCTGCCGCTCATTTGCTGTGCTCTTTGCCTGCACAGGTACCCAGTTATCCTGCGCCGCTTTGAGCTGAGGCCAGGCTCTGGGGGCCGAGGCCGCTTCCGGGGAGGGGATGGTGTTATCCGAGAGCTGGTCTTTCGGGAAGAGGCGCTGCTGTCCGTGCTCACCGAGCGCCGGGCCTTCCAGCCTTATGGCCTCTATGGTGGGTGACTCCCAGCCCTCTCTGGCCTCTTTTGCCCTGTGGCTGCCTGCCACCTCAGGATCCCATCTCTTGCCCCTACCTCCACTGACCCCCATCTCCTTGTTTCCTCCTCCTGTAGGGGGAGAGCCTGGTGCGCGGGGCTTAAACCTCCTGATCAGAAAGGACGGACGCACAGTGAATTTGGGCGGGAAGACATCTGTGACCGTGTACCCCGGGGTAAGAGACGAAGCCTGTGTGGTAAACATCAGAGATGCAAAAATTTTAATTTGGCTAGGGTGGCTGTGTAGTGGCCTCTGTGATCTTACTGGGACAAGGCCACACCTGTGTTGAACCTGCTCTTCTTTACAGGACGTGTTCTGCCTTCACACACCGGGCGGTGGAGGCTACGGAGACCCAGAGGACCCAGCGCCACCTCCGGGTTCGCCACCTCCGGGTTCGCCCCCACTCTTTCCAGCCTTTCCAGAGCGCGGCAGTGTATATGAGTACCGCCGTGCCCAGGAAGCTGTGTGAGTGTCCCCCAGTAAAGATCCTTCAGTCGCACGGTTATTGGTGGCCTTTCTCACTTGTCGTCCCTTTGTGTGCCAGAGTCAGGAGCACACAACTTGAAGCTTCAGGCCCACAGCTAAGTGGTCTGTGAGCCCAGCCAGCGCAGTACTGAAAGTCACCTGCTCCACCTCCTGCAGGGCAGGCATCAAGTTGAGAGCTGTTTGCAGTCTGAGCAAGCCCAACTGCCCCCAGCTCAGGCACTTACTGGACTCAGGCGACTCCCAGGTATTCCGCGGTAGGTGATATAGTCCAGGCGCCGACCCTGCCATGATTTATCTGAGTGATTTCCACTAGGGGGTCCTGCCAGGTAGAGGCGGCGCCCTTTTTCTTCCTCCAGGGCCCTAGGAGAGGCGCAGCATCACTGAGGCTAGGGCAGTTCCTCCCAGATGACCTGCCTGGGCTCATTCCACTTACCTCCGAAGCATCTCTGGGGAGCTGGCAATGGCGTGGTGTAGCTTACAAGTGCTCAGAATTGTCCCTGTGGAGTCGGGAAGAGGGGGAGCGGAATCAGTGGCAGCATTGCTGACTGGGATCCCACAGACCTGCTCTCCCCTCCTCTACAGAAGCAGTACCCAAGGCCCAGGGCTGCTCCTGACAGGTGCCTAGCCGGCAGGGGTCGTGGAAACAGCTGAAGAGCCTGTGCCCCTGTTCCTTTGCGTGATCTGTAGAAGAAAACCGCTTCTTAGCAGGCAGGTCTGGGTCTCTCGGCTCCACCTGCCCCAGCTTCTCACCTTGTGAGCAGTTGTCGAAGTTGAAGTCTCCCAGTAGGACGCTGAAGGCTACAGCCTCGCCACTCTGGCTGCTCTCGGCCTCAAACTCCTCCACCCATTCCAGGAGCAGTGACAGCTGTTTGCAGCGAACATGCCCATCTTCTAAGAGGAGAGTTGGGGTTGCCTCAGCCCAGAGTGGGGATCCAAGGCCATACCCAGGTCCTGATCTGTAAACCCACCCAAGCATTTCTTGGGATGTCTGAGGGGCAGGAAACAACCACCAGGGTGTAGGGACAAAAATGTTGGTGAAGTTAGGGATCTACTGCTCTCAAAGGAGAGAAGAGGGGTTGCCCACATTTCCAACAACCCCCCCCCCGAAGAGCTCACCAACGGGTGCCTGCAAGTGTGTGCAATGAAGGTATCCCACGATACGGCGCCCATCCAAGATGCCCAGTTGTGCCTGCAACGCCACCCACAGTTCCAGCTCTCCTTGCTTGTTAGACCCATTGCTTACCCTCTCCCTGCTAGGATGCATTGCAGCCTGTTAGTACCTGGGCGGAAAGTAGACCTTTGGAGGCCATGGCGTCCTCGCGACGAGCGTTAGGAAAGCACCGGAAGGTGGCACGCAAAAGCGGGTAGCGCGAGGCCAGTAGAAGTCCACTGCCCAGTATCTTGATGTACGGCCCGGGCACTAAGCCAAATGTGCCCACATCGTATAGGACTGGGCCCAGATTTGGCGCCAGGACGCGCACAAGACGACGAGCTGCGCGGAGATCGAACACTTCCTGCAGGCACACGAAGTCCAAACCCGTAGGTATTGTGGCCCTCAGCTCACCGCCAGGCACCACAGGCAGCGGCTGGCTGCATCCAGTAGCCCCATAGTGTGACGTTCGAAGGCTACCTAGCAGTACAGCACCAATGGCCTCCGCGCGCTGTTGGCTGTGCGACAGGTTGCTAAAGCGTGCCAGCCCGTCAGGGAGCAGGCACAGATTGGCAGTGAAAAAGGCAAAGCAGCGCACGCGCTCAGCAGGCGGGTGCCAGGGCTGTGGCCAAACCCAGCAGGATGGAGGGGGCTGGTAGCAGAAGGGGCGGCGCCAGACCTGTAGGGGCAGCCAGAGTACAAGGCCAAACAGCACCAGGGGTAGGCCGACTACCATCAGCGATAGCAACGCCGCCCCACTTCCTGCCAGGACTTTGAGCCACCCCAGACTACTGGATCGTGCCATTGGTGCCCAGCAGCCCAGCAGTTGGTCCAGAGACCAGTAGGCTGGGAAGAGCAGCTTGCGGGATAAGCCATATAGGGCTTGTAGCAAGGGATGTGGGAAAGGTGAAGGCCTCAGGGCGTCAGGTGTCGGGGGCCAATCGAGTGAGGGTTCATGGCGAACCGGGCTCCTTCGCAGCGAAACGTCAGGGAGACTCATTTCCAGCCGGAGAGTTGAATCCTTAAGAGTCCGCCGGAACTGCAGGAAGTCAAGACCAGGCGGCACAACTAGGATCTGTGCCGGAGCCTGAGTTCTGGACATTGGCCCCACCCACTCAAACTACCGTGGCGGTTGGAAGGGGGAAAAAGAACCCGCGCTTCACAGTCCCGCCCACTGCGCTCTTTCTTACGCTTGGCGAGTCCACTTAGGACTTCAAGTAAAACTTAGGGCCCCGCCTCCCGCCTAGCTTTCCCCACCCCTCCTATAAGCCTTACTTTCTGGCTAAGGGCATGCAGGTGCTTGTGCCTGGTTCCTGAGTGCAAAGACTCAACCTGCAAAGGTTGTGGCTGTGACTTAAGAGCTTAAAGTCGGGGGAGGGAGCGTTAGTTCTATACTTTAAGGAGGCTCGTCCGGACACACGAGCCAGGTAAAAGGAGGTTCCCCATTCTATGAGCACTTTAACACTGACGAGTTTTGTTTTGTTTTGCTTTGTTTTTGAGACAGGGTTTCTCTGTGTAACATTGGCTGTCCTGGAACTCACTCTGTAGACCATGCTGACCTGGAACTCAGAGATCTACCTGTCTCTGCCTCCGGGGTGCTGGGATTAAAGGCGTGCACCACCACTGCCCAGCTCAACTTTAGGCTCTTACATTGTCACTTGGCTTTCACAGACTTTTCTCTGCCTCCCCAATTCCAGCTGTGAGCCAGCATCCACCATGATATCAACCATAAGTGTCGCTTAGGTTGCCATATCAAGTTTGTCCTGGCTACTTGTCTTCACCCAGGTGGCCAAGAGAGTCGTGGAGATACTTTTGATGACTGTTAATGAGCTGTCTGGCTGGGTTCCCAAAGTCTCTCTGACAGGAGTGGTCAGGGCAGAAAGGGACAAGCTCTAAGGGGCCTAGCTAGGTATTAAGCCGGGGTAATCCAGCAACCCCACACCTCTTTGTTCCTGGAATTTTTATTGGTACGGATAAGATTCTTGTTTGTATTAAGACCCCAAAAACTAGTAAGGACTAGTTTTCTAAGACCCTGGTTCTTTTACACCCCCCCCCCTTTATTTGGTTTTTCAAGACAGGGTTTCTCTGTGTAGCCTGGAACTCGCTCTGTAGACCAGACTGACCTCAAACTCAGAGATTCACCTGTTGGAACTAAAGGAGGGCATCCCCACTGCCCAGCTTCTTTTCTTTCTTGCCCCAGCCCTGGCACCTGTACCCTCAAGGCCAGCCAGAAGCTATCATGGGCTTTCCCCCACTGCCCTTCTTAGGAAGCAGCCCATCCTTGGTCTACACTCTTGCAGTAATACCACAGTCTTTCTGCTCTCACTTTGATTCCACTACTCCATATGCACCCCCATTCCTTTCTCCAACTCATCTTCTTTATTCCCTGGTCCCAGCTCTGAATCCCCCATACTTGGATAGGGCCCCTCATTTTCCCAGACCTTGGGCATCTTTGCAAGGGGCTGCCATCTCCCTGTCCTCTGCCCAGGTTTGGATGGGTGGCATCCGGCTCTCCTGCCTCTACTGTCCCCACCCCCAGTCTCTGGTTAGCACAGGTTTTTCCTCTGTGTGTATCCTTCCTTCCCTGTTCCTGTTCTTTGTTTTAACTCCCAGAACTTCTCCTTTCATTATCAAGTGGAAGGGAACCCCGGGGCTTTCCATTCCATCCCTGCAGAAAGACAGCATCTGAGCCTTGATCTGAGCAATCTCTCCAGGTGCCTGTAATGTGAATGTGGCCCTCCAGGACCGACAGAACTGAATGTACTTAGTGAGGTACCCCACAGGAGCAGGTAGGTGTGGCATGGGCCCAGTGACTTGTGTCTGTGGGAAATTTTAATGGCCATGCACGACGGCCTGCAGGGCCAAGTGAGCCTGGGCCAGCCGGGCACCAGTGTTACCAGATGAACATGGGTTTGCCGTCGTCATGGGCCAGCTGGTTAAGGCAGGAGAGCAGCAGGAGCGCATCGGTGAGCATGCTGGGGTGCACGGTTTCCACCAGTACACGCTGCAAGAAGTCCACGGTGTAGGAGCCACCTTCAGACGCTGCCAGCTCAGGCCGCTCGCGCAAGATGCCATACGCATTCACCAGCTGCTCTGTCAGCGCTGGATGCACCCGTCCATTGTAGCCCAGACTCTGCAGCCTGTTCATGATGCTCACATAGCGCTGCGTGAGGGTCTGGCAGAGGTCCTCATCCAGCTTGTGGTTACTGGGGTTTAGGGAGGCCTGTTGGGAGAGTGGCCATCAGGAACCTCCCACAGCACTCTGGATCACAGGCAGGCGGGAAGAGCAGGGACCCGAGAGGCCGAGGGGAGGAAATGGTTAGGAATTGCTAAGAGGGTGCCAAGGGAGGAGAAGCTGTGGCACCCAAAAGGTCCAGAGGGCCGAGCCTGAGGTCGAGGCATACAAAACCCAGCTCAGGCAGGCCCAGCGACTTCCCAAAGCTTCCAGAGATGCCCATCCCATTGTCTGTTCCATACCAGATATATGAGACTAGGGGAAAGCCACCAGGGACGGGGGACAGGAAGTATGACCTCCAGTATGGAGGTATAGTGAGTGTTTCATTTTCCCAGTCTGCCTGACCCCAGAGTTTGCAGGCCTTCCCAAGAGTTAATGGAAAGCTCTTAACCTGGAGTGACAGACACTGTTCTAACGGCACAGGAAGGTCTTCCTGACCACCGCCTTTCCCGAAACCCCCTGCAGTCAAGGTTCCTATGTTTCTACCAAGCAAGTGGATGCAGACAGACAGGTGGGACTCCATGTGGGAAGAGGCGTTTGCATAGGAAGGACTGGCCTCCAAGGGGGTACCATGGATATGGGACTGGTTCTCCAGGGACAGCTGGGCTCAACTGGGGACACCTGGCTAGGTATCTATATGCTGTCTTGGGACCGGTGCCCATGGTGTGTCCACTAGGAAAGTCCCTTGGTATGTTAGCATTTTTCTGTGCAGTATAGCAAACAAACGCAATTGTGTGTCCTTCCTGGAACTGAGGGCCTTAATATTATAATAAATCCATATCTGCTTGCATCAGTTGTTGTTTGTAACTGAGACCACTGGGTGGTTTGTCTAAGAGAGAGAATCTTTCAGGTAGGCAGAGTGCACTGAGGAGATTGGTGTTCCTGTCGGATAGATCAAGGAAAGGCTGCCTGTGTGATTACTGCTTTATATAATTTGAAAAAGATGGAGCCAATGTAATCCGTGATAAGGAGAGAATTGAGATTTGGTAGAATGTTGGCCTTCATACATGACCCTGAGTTTGACATGAAGCGCGCGCGCGCGCACACACACACACACACACACACACACACACACACAGAGGAAGAAATGAACCTGAGTTTGGTTCCCAGCACTCATGTCAGGGTGACTCATAACCTCCAACTCTCAGGGAATCTGACACCTCTGACCTTAAGGGTCCCTGCACACGCACGTGCACACACACACACACACACACACACACACACTGAGAGAGATAAGGAGAGAAAGAAGCTATACATAATTGAAAATACAATAAATCTTTAAAAAAAGAAAACTGAAAAATATTAGAAGTATGTGTGTAACCTGATTCCACAGCGTGCATCATATGGCATCCCATTAAGAGTGATGAGTTCATGTTTTGTTCTTGGTTTTTCTTTTTATCTTTTTCTTCATTCTGAGACAGACTCTTGTGTGGCCTAGGTTGACCTTGATCTTGTCAGGTAGTTAAGTGTGACCCAGAGTTCCTGATCCTCCTGTTTCTGCGTCCTATGTTCTGGGAGTGAAGGCATGTAACAACCACGTCTGGTCTAGGTAGCAGGGCTAGGCAAGCACCCTACCAGATGAGCTTCCTGTAAAGTCCTGTTTTCATGTTTTTATGTATCATGTTTGTATGTTAATATTGAATTTTTATTTACTTAAAAATTAATAAAAACATGTTTATTATTTTTTTGAAATATTTCTTTTTTTTAAAGATTTATTTATTATGTCTACAACATTGTGCCTCGATGTATGCCCGCATGCCAGAAGAGGGCGCCAGATCTCATTTCAGATGGTTGTGAGCCACCATGTGGTTGCTGGGAATTGAACTCAGGACCTCTGGAAGAGCAGCCAGTGCTCTTAACCTCTGAGCCATCTCTCCAGCCCCATGTTTATTATTTTTAATTATATGTATGTGTCAGTATGTGAGTATGTGCACATGAATGAAGGGGCCCACACAGGCCAGGGGTTTTGAAAGCCCTAGGAGCTGGAGTTATATAGGTGGTTGTGAGTCACCAGACATGGTTTGAACTTAGGTCCTCTGGAAGAGCAGTACATGTGCTTGACCATGGAGCCATCTCTCCAAAATCAACATTTTAAGAATTAAAGAAGTAGATGGGCCTGGTGGTTCACGCCCGTAACTGTAGCACTCTAGAGACTGAGCCAGGGACATTGACTCAGGCTCAAGGTCAATCTGGGCTACACAGTGTGAGCACAACTAGGGACACATACACATCAAGGCTTTGTCTCAACAAGTAAATAGGTAAAAATATTCATGCACTCATTGTCTGGGCACAACGGCTCATACTTCTCATCCGACCTCTCGGGTGGAAGAGGAAGGAGTAGCACAGCAAGTGTTGTGGTCCAGGCCAGCTGGGCTACTTAACAAGACTTGTCTGAACAACCCAAATACACAAAAATAAATAACATAGTATCTGGGACATTCTCAGGAGGTTGAGGTAGGAGGACCATAGGTTTCAAGCCTGCTTGGGTTACATGTCAAGATGTAAATATATCTATATATCTGCCTAGAAAAAACAATATGATTGTTACCAAGAAAAATCCAAATGATATACAGGTTATTAGAACGCCTAAGAGGGCTTGGATAGCCTAAGAGGGCTTGGATACTTAAGGTGGTTTGGATACCAAATCAGTATGTGAACATGAGATCATTCTTGGGAGACCAAGGGGTAGTCAAGGTGCCACTTGCACCCTTGAATGGCCCTAGTCACTCTCACACGGACACTGTTGGACTCAGGGTCCCTAGGATAAGGGTGCCAAGAGGACTCTTCAAACATCTTCCACAAAGTTCTTCACAACTGGAGGAAGGCAAAAAGGTGAATCTTTGTAACCACTTTTGGGTAGGTTAAAAAGACAGAGTAACTGGGCTGGAGAGATGGCTCAGCCATCAAAACCTGCACTGTTCTAGCTGAGGACCAATTCGACTGCCAGCACCCACACTGGGCAGTGGTTCATGAACACCTGTAGCTCCGGCTTGAGGGCACCAAATACCTC